TTCCCGAAACGTGCGTGCGGGACCGGCGGAAACAAAAGCAGAAGATTGTCGACAGCAAAGCTTCACGCAAAGGCTTCAGTTGACTACAGCAGGGTCGGTTTCCGCAAATTAAAGAGCTGCTCGGCGAGTATGTGCTTGAGCAGCGAGCGGCACAGCGGCCCGTGACGACAGAACGGCTCCAAGTACGGGCTATGCAATTAGTCTTAGAAAAAGGTCTAATGCGGAGCCAGTTTAAAGCGAGCAGGTGCTGGCTAACTAACTTTATGAAGAGAGGAAAGGCTTTTCCCTCCGAAGGGGAACATGCATATGCGAAAAATTTTGCAGTGGAGTACGATGAAAAGCTTCACAGTTTTCAAAGGTTCGTCCTAAACTTGCGGCGCAACAACGGCTACCTGCTTGGGCAAATCGGGAATGCTGGTCAGACGCCTTTTTACTTCGACATGCCTGGCACCACAACCGTCGAGAAGAACGGGGCGAAGCAAGTTCGCGTGCTGACATCGGTCCACGGTAAAACTAGTGACGGCAATGCTCTGTTACACGTAAGATGGGCACAAGCTTCGCCCGTACCTCATATTTAAATGGAAGACGCTCCCGAAAGGAGTCGTTTTTTCGAGTGGTGTGATCGTGCGGGCCAGCGAGAAAAATGGGTGCGCGTTGCAATCGATGTCTTACGTTTTTTTTTTTTTTTTTCGCGGTGGAAATCGGGTGCGCGTTACAATCGAGGGCGCGGTAGAATCGAGTAAATACGGTAATTAAAAGTCAACAACTGGTCCTATCAATTTTGCATGCATGCTTATACGCAAAAAATGCTCAATAATTCAATGTTAAAAGCCGTTAATGTTGGTTATTTAGAAGTTACTTTTCAGTCGAGAGCCTTGAGGCAACCGTAATTTTTCAATAAAATGGGAAATTTTTCATGTGCCAAGACCGCCAAAACAGCTGTTGATGGCGCTGTTATTGCCTTCGCCACTGCCTGCAGCGCCACGGTTCATGAGGCTACCATCTTGTTTAATGAACGCCAAACCATTGCATTGATCGCATTGGCTAACTACTAGCTCTTTCATTGTCATGTGTTCAGTGCTTCAGCAGCGCACTGGGTTGAAGCCGGGTTAAAGTTAGACCGACTGGATGTTAGCGGAAGAGAGCACTTAAAACTGTGTGTTTTGCGTGTTCTGCTTTGTCCGCATCCCATTGCACTCTTCAAACATAGCATGATTGGATAAGGCAACTAGCCCGTCAACACACTGTGTGTTGATTCCGTATGCGTTTACACAGCTGATTTTGAGTGTTCTGGTGGTGACGTTTGATAATGGCAACTTGCGGCCCCAACGGAACCATGGCGCCGAAAATGAAAAGTTTTGAAAGCAGCCGACCTTGTAGGCACCGCCAAGGAATACACCACCATGAAAGTACGCCGTTAAGCCTAACTCACTCTCGAATTCCATCAAGTGCAAACAGGTGAACCCGAAGATGATAGTTTTGGGACCGTTCTTGTGACGTCCGCTTTGAAAAATTTGTTGCCGTCGGCAGCAACGTCGATACATGCGGTCGACTAACTTGCTAGCTGCAGCCACGTTCGGCAAGAGAAGATGAAAGACCATTTTATTAGAGAACTGTCACATTTGAAGCAATAATAGTGCAGATTTCTGCGCCAGTTTTTTGATCGGAAGTTCGTTTCGTCAATGTTGTATTAATGGGAGTTGACTATAGCGGGTCAGTGTGCGGCTGCAAACGCAATGTTTACTTAAAAAAAAAAAAAAAGCTTGTAATTTGGCACTAAAAAATACTATCATAATGTTACTCCCATTTACATTTGCGGGTATATAACCTGCTAAATGCATTAACGATGTGAGCGAGCAAAACCGAAATCACCCGCAAGCTGCCGTACTACAGTAGAATCTCGATGATACGGTCACGGTTGATACAAATTCCGCAATGATATGGATTTCAAGGTTGTTTTGAAGGGTCTACATGCCGCGATTTGGTGTTATACGAAACATTTCCCCAGCCTCTGCGGATAATACGAATGCGCAAATGAGCGTTGCACACGAGCGGGGCAACGCGGAGTGTCGCTGCACTGCGCCCGCATGACACCCGCGAGAGAGGGAAAAACCACTCGGGCGTGGCTCGGGAAACGAGTTTGCAAGGGGACACCGTGCACGGAAAAGAGGGTCGACAGGCATGCGTGGCCTTTCTCGTTTACTGCGCTAGTCACGGGCCTGACAAGGTATGTGAGATCTTTCCAGGCAGCTCATTGGCTTATTTTTTAGTGCTTATTTTTTCTTTCTTTTTATTGCAACACCGTTTCCACGTGGTGCGGGCGCTGTGGAGGCTCTTGTAAATGCCAGTGTTGCTGCTCGAACTGCTGTGAGCATATCGTCGAATTGCAATTCTCGGGAAGGTCGACGAAGACCCCAAGAAAAAGCGCCAAGACTTCGCGAAAGAATTGGGCATAGCGCCATTGACTCTCTGCTCCATTGTTGGGCGGTGAGATGTCATCTTGAACTATGCTCATCAGGACTTTGGCGCGACGTTCTGGTTATGTGGTTTCGCCAAGCGACAGCAGGCGGCGTCAACGTGGACGGCAAGGTGCTACGCGAAAAGGTGGACAACGTAGCGCTTTCTCTTGGCATCGATGACTTCCAAGCTTCCGCTAGATGGCTGCACCGTTTTAAAGGATGGCACGGACTAGTTTACTAGTTTTCAGCGGTGAAGCTAAGTCGCAGGTGAATGGCTGGCTCAACATGCTGCAGGCTCTGATTGCGGTCTATGCACCATGTGACGTATTCAATGCTGACGAGGTGGGACTCTTTTTCAACGTGCAGCTGGAAAGGAGCCTGTGTGTGAAAGGACAGCCTTGCAAGGGTGGTCGGAAAAGTAAGGAGCGTGTCACTGTGCTTTTTTGCGTAAGTGCCAACGGTTCCGAAAAAATTCACCTTACTGTCATAGGCAAACCAAAATGACCAAAGTGCTTCCAATTGGCAGGACATTTGCCTTGCTTGAACAAAGGAAACAAAAAAGCATAGATGACATCAGAATTTTCCTGCATGTTTCTGACAACTTTAGACTAGAAAATGGCAGCAAAAAACAAAAAAAATTTGCTTTTCGTCAGCCAGTGTTCAGCCCATCCAAAAGACATATTTGCAAGGTGTTTCAGCGCGCGAACAAAGGAAAAAAGGACAGGGTAGACAGAAAGAGCGCTGACTTCCAACTAACTTTATTTCGCAGAGTGGCAAGAATTTATACGTCTAAAAAGGAAGATTACAGAGCATGAAGGTAAAAAACCAAGCCCAATCTACACATCAGTAACAGCACGTGTGACAGGTCCTCTAATGCCTCAAAGCCCAGCCAGGTAACCACGTTCAGCCTGGGATAAAGCAACCGATGAAGTGCTTACGCATTTATCTCCTAGCACGTGTATTTTTTCGGCTTCGATAATTTCTCGGGTAAGTTTGTTCCTGTGCCTTGCCAATATAGAGCACTGATCAAAGAGGGGGGTGCACCCACAATCTCGGCAATGTACTACCGTACGTGCACGACGTCTCACACAGGCTAAAAAAGATTGCTCGAGACGCCAACGTTCTTGTTGTTTTTTCAGCACCGGAAAAATTGCAGAAGCTTTGCAAACGGGTAAATACACCTCGCGCAACTTCTGCAGCGTGCTCTGTCGCGCACAGGACATGCTACGTCCCATGCGCAGTGGGAGTCGTATACTTGATTCCACTGACGTGTGGGTGCGTCTATGTCGGCCAAACCGGCAGGTGCATAAACGACCGCCTGCGAGAACACCGAAACAATGTGCACAATGTGGTACAAGGGCATCTTGGCATTCATTGCCGAGATTGTGGGTGCACCCCCCTCTTTGATATCATGCTCTGTAATCTTCCTTTTTAGACGTATAAATTCTTGCCACTCTGCGAAATGAAGTTAGTTGGAAGTCAGCGCTCTTTCTGTCTACCCTGTCCTTTTTTCCTTTGTTCGCGCGCTGAAACACCTTGCAAATATGACTACGCACCAACTAGCCCAAGCTTCCACTCTTGTGTGCCATCCAAAAGACATGGAAATTTAACAATGTTGCCATAAGGTTCCTGCCCGCAAACACGACAAGCCGTCTACACCCGGTGGACGCGGGAATATTTCGAGATGTCAAACATAATTTTAATGGATTGCTTGTGCGGAGACCTCTGGCTAAAATTGAGTGCAAAAATGAAAAATTGCAGATTAGTCTGCTTGATGGGCTACATTTACTTGCCATGTCCTGGGATAATGTGACACAGGACATGATCGCAAACTGTTTTCACAAGAGTGCATTTTTTTCGGGACAAGATGCGGCTCCGACGAAAGATAACGAAGAGCCTGATGCTGATGTGCACGAGTTGGGAGAACCTCGAAATTGAAGCTTCGGCACAAGACTACGTCACCGCGGGCGATAACGTCGCGACCTGTGGGCTGCAATCTATCAAAGAACTGGTCGACAAGGCTATGAGATGAAGTCCTGCAGCGATGGTGAAGATCGATGTGTGTGATCTGCCGTTGACAACAATAAACCACCACAGCGATGGTGAAGACACCAATGTGTGTGACCTGCCGTCGACAACGGTAAACCACCACGCCCTCGACGTGCTACACTGCACCGTAAGCACCAGAAGCACGAGCAAAGAAATTACAGCACGGTTTTATGCCTTTCAGGCAGCTTTTATAAAAGACGGTGAAGGCAGAAAAGTTAAAAAAAGCATTATGAAATTTTTCAGCAAAAAGTAGTTGATTGCAATAAAGTTATTGTTCATCTTCATGATCAGCTGTATCTTGTTTTGGTTCATACGAATTCAGCATGACACGAATATTTTGCATGCTCCCTATGACTTCATATCATCGAGATTCTACTGTACTTGCGGAGCAACGCGAATCTGCAGAAGCCCCGCCTCCATTGCCCTTGCTCCTATGTCCAGATAAGTTGTTGCTTATATTGTCTACAAAGCAGTTCACTACTGTGTCCCCACCTGGTAGTCAACAGGAATGAGAGGATGATGAGGTGGAAAGGCTCGTGTTGAGCCTTTGCGATGCACGAGCAATGTGCGCATCTTGCCATCCACCACATGCTGCTCCACCTTGGCGATGTTGTGCGACACATCGTAGATGACGTGCATGTCGAGGTCATCCGGGGTCGTGTTGTATGCTTTGGCAAAAGCCTGTAAATGCGAGGGCAGGAATGAACAACGGTAAAAAGGTACGTAAGAAGCACCACCTCACATTTAACGTTTAACAAAGATAGTGCTTCAGCTCTCTTTGCATCCTCTGGCATGTAGAACCAGCGTATAAATGCACATGGAAATATAAATGGGATTGTTGTTGTGTATATAAAAAAAATGTAGAAAGGCAAAGATGGAAGCTTACGATGCAAAATCTGTAAACAGGGGTAGTGTCGAGTCGACGTTTCGACAAGCGGACTTGTTCTAGCCTTGAGGAAGACAAGTCTGCATATTGAAACGTCAGCTCGACACAACCCCTGTCTACGAATTTTTCATTGTCATTGTGCAGAATTGAAGATTGCATTTGTTTCACAGTAGAAGCGCCTTTTGATGCTGTGGCCATTTTATGTACTCTATTCTTTTTTGATTTTCCGTACTTCTAAGTTGGCGGTCAGGTTACAATACAATTTTTACGGTAGTTGTGAATGATTCGATTGAAGTTGAACCGAAAGACGAGCTAGTTGGTACATGTGCACTAGTGTCGTTTCCTCTCTTTTTGTCTCTGTTATTGTTAGTTCTCAAACTTTCTTAAAAGGGCCCTGACACACTTTTTTGAGTAACCATGAAATTAATTCACTGGAAGAGCTTATTGGCTCACAAATTCAATGCCACAAAAATTTGAAGAATTCGTCCAGTTCGAGCAGAGTTACAAAGATTTGTCACACACTGCATTTGCATTCTCTCTTCTCTCGCCTTGACGAAAACGCTAGAAGCTAAGCAGGGAGGGTTGGGAGGGGAAAAACAAAATACATCACGCGCGCCTCGTGACCCTGAGCACTTTTTTTTTTTCTTCGAATACGCAACTTTTTTAGAGTGATCGCGTGCGGTTGCGTGGACAAGTGACTGCCTTCTGCGGTGATCTCTGTAACGACCGAGCGCATCATGTTTAAATCAGCCAATGGCTGATAGATGGGCATTCTACGAGTGATTTTCGTGCGTCTTTTGTCATTTATCGAGGGAAGAGAAAGCCATTCGGAGCTGAATGATAATTTATTGTGAATTCCAGGCTGCGTGCTGCGCTATAACATTTGGTTCGCATGTTCTCGAGAGCCTCTACTACCGATCGGCAGCATTTTCTGACCATGCTCAAAGTGTTGCGGGGCCCCTTTAAGATGTGTGAGAATCGTCTCCTGTGGGAGGCACTTTTTCTCACTGCAACAGAACCCCGCTGATATATTTTTGAAGGGACAATAAGAAATAAACATAACAGCCAAAAACAACAAGGGCCGAAAATTGAAAAAATGGCAACAAATTGAGCAGTGGTGAACTGAAAAGAATTTTATTTCAATGCTTGCGCTTAAAGAAAAAATCAAGCAACACTGCCTGTTGTGTTTAGTCGCCCGATCAGCACAAGAAATTTTTGAAGTACCAGTAGTGTAATACCGTAATTACTCGAATCTAACGCGCACCTTTTTTCCGGTTAAGCGAGTTCATAAATCGCATGCGCGTTAGAATCGAGTACGAACAAAAAAATTACGGTCAATCTATTGCCATCGGCAAATCCAAAATGGCCGCCCCCTACGTGCGTCGGCACCTTCTCTTCCTCCGTGTGCGTCGGCATGGCGCGTCAGCCATTTCTGCCTATGTGTTTCCCATGTGCGGCACTTCGTACGTGTGCTGAGGAGTTCATCATCTAGTAGTGCATTAGGATCGACGGCGTGGAAGGGCCGACTCCAAAAACTCGAATGCACCACGATGCCGCTTTTAAAAGATAAGTCATCGCGTGTGCAGAAACGGACGGAAATCGGGCCGCATCGCGGTCGTTCGGAGTTCCTGAAACGTGTGTGCGGGACCGGCGGAAACAAAAGCAGAAGATTGTCGACAGCAAAGCTTCACGCAAAGGCTTTAGTGGACCACAGCAGGGTCGGTTTCCGCAAATTAAAGAGCTGCTCGGCGAGTATGTGCTTGAGCAGCGAGCGGCACAGCGGCCCGTGACGACAGAACTGCTCCAAGTGCGGGCTATGCAGTTAGCCTTAGAATAGAAAAAGGGCTAATGCGGAGCCAGTTTAAAGCGAGCAGGTGCTGGCTAACTAACTCTATGAAGAGGAAAGGCTTTTCCCTCCGAAAGGGAACATGCATATGCGAAAAGTTTTGCGGAAAAGTATGATGAAAAGCTTCACAGTTTTCAGAGGTTCGTCCTAAACTTGCAGTGCAACAACGGCTACCTGCTTGGGCAAATCGGGAATGCCGATCAGACGCCTCTTTACTTCGACATGCCTGGCACCACAACCGTCGAGAAGAAGGGGGCGAAGCAAGTTCGCGTGCTGGCATCGGTGCACGGTAAAACTACAGTGACGGCAATGCTCTGTTACACGTCAGATGGGCACAAGCTTCGCCCGTACCTCATATTTAAATGGAAGACGCTCCCGAAAGGAGTCGTTTTTTTGAGTGGTGTGATCGTGCGGGCCAGCGAGAAAAGTGGGTGCGCGTTGCAATCGATGTCTTACGTTTTTTTTTTTTTCGCGGTGGAAATCGGGTGCGCGTTACAATCGAGGGCGCGGTAGAATCGAGTAAATACGGTAAATCTAGTGCTGCCACGGCTGACACATGGCAAATGGTACATGTGTCGATATGAGTGCGAGATCGTAACCAGTGTCACTGGCACCTCTGAGCGATAATTTAGCACTGTCAGCTCAGTGCGGAACCACAGTGGCTTGTAGTATCAGTCAAACACCTCACAAAAGTGATGAGATGAAGAAGGGTGCAAAATACAAGTAGGAAACCAACCTTGTCAAAAGCACTTGTTCCATTTGAGCAGCAGTTCCACTTAATTTAAGAGATTTACATTTACTGAGAGAGTACTGCATATTGCTATTCTCAAATGAGTATTGCAAGTGTATACCCAGAGTTTCTTTGCCACTGTTCTTATGAGATGCATCCACAGTTGTTCAGAGTCAAGAGTTGCACCTTGTGATTTGAAGAAATGCACCTTAGCTTTTCAGTAGCACCAACAAAAATATTCTGGCTTATTCCAAACTATTTTTATCAGTACTATGTGTGAAGCAAAAAAAAAAAAGCGTCACCTGACGGCTTAGGAAGGTCATGCTGCTGCGATTGACCCAAGCAAAGTTCGCTGCCGCTGCCATCGATTTCAGGTAGTCCTGCCCCTCATTGGAGCGGATAAGGGCGCAGGCCAGCTGCCGGTCATTAACATCAATCTTGTCCCGCTTCATGGCCTTCTCCATGGCCACCAATGCATCTGCCCGCACAATAATGGAGAGGTGGAGAACTTGTCTCAGTGCATGTTTACACTCAATGAACAACAAAACCAAACTACGTATCAACAGGTTCAGCCGCTGTCATCCAAGGGGTTGTCAACACGTATTTTATCAGTATTACGTCCAAGCCCAACAGTTGCTTAAATCATCCAGCAGCCAAAACCATCGTGCTCAGAGGCAATAAACCGTTTCAATACCTTAAAAGTAGGCTTGAGCAAATAATAAATTTAAGGTTTGAAGTGAATAGTGATTTTAACCAGATGATTTCGAATCAAATACCAATAGTATATGAATAGCATATTACAAAAAAAAAGCATATTTGTCATCACCTAACTAACCTGCACAATATATTTTTAGCGAATGATTGATTTTTAAAGGATGATTTTCAGCGATCCCTTGAGATTCATTGTATTGAGATTTTGCTGTGTGCTAAGTATTTAACTCAAAAACTTGCTATAAGTGTTTCTCGAGCGACAATATCGGCCATAAGCTCCATAACGGTTATTTCAAGTGCCCTTCACTTCAACTTCTACGTCAATGCATAAAAGGTCCACCAGCAAACAAAAGAAATCGCTCACCTGTAGCCACTTGGTGTCCAAAGCCACGACTCCCACTGTGAATCATGACACATACTTGACCGCAACGCTCGATTCCCATCTTGGCTGCATTGTTCTTGTCATAAATGTCGTCCACCACTTGAATCTCGGCATAGTGATTGCCAGCGCCCAAGGTGCCCAGCTAAAACCCACATAGATTGAAGAAAAGAGAAAAATTTGTGTAGTCACTTATCAGAGCTCGTACAACCAAGTACTACAGCCAAACAAAACAAAGTTAACGAACGTTTCCAAGAAGCGAGCCTAAGTAAATCTGTTCTGATTAATAAGCTGAGCTTGAGGCCACCGCCAAACTAACACAGTTGCACTACAAAGCTTCTCACTGCTGAATCGTTTCATCATCTGAAGCAGATGAAACAATGCAAAAAAAAAAAAATGCCAATGTCTTGGAAAGTGTGAATAATTCATAATCCAACACAATTTTTTTTGCCTGTGACACGATGGCATGATAAACATTGTAATGCACAATGATGACCCCAAAAGGCTACTAGTTCTGATGTTAATAACGCTGTCACAGTAATTTTTAAGAACATGGGTGTATATGGTATGCTTCTGTAATCCGTTCACGAGGCCATTCAGCTGCGGTGACACGGGTGGAATGACGGAACTGTGTCGTGCACATCGTAGTAATTCTTCAACGGCAGCGGCAGTGAACTGGCGGCCACGGTCGCTGATAATAACACGTGGTGGGCCATGGCGAGGGACCGCGGAGTGAAGCAAGAAGTCCGCCACGATGCAGCGGTAGAAGAGGGAATAGCTGCGGTTTCGGCATACCGCGTAAGATGATCTACGCAAACGATTATCCAACGCTTCTTATTGTTAGATAACGAAAATGGACCCATAATGTCAATTCCTACTTGTTCAAAAGGTGTGGTGGGTAGTGTTAACGGCTGAAGGGAACCTGGTGTAGCGGTGGCCGGGCGCTTGTGACGTTGGCACGTCTCACAGCTAGTGACGTAACGCTTCGTCGTTTCGTACATCTTGGGCCAGTAAAAGCGTTCCTGCGTAAGGTTCAGCGTTGGTATGAAGCCGAAGTGACCGGACGTCGCATCGTCATGCATAGCACGTAGAACATCGGAGCGAAGGTTCTCGGGGACAACTAGAAGAAAACGTGCTCCATGTCTCGGACAGTAAAGCGACCGCTGTGTTGGGAGGCACGTGCGGCGGCAAAAAGAGGATCCAAGTTGAGATCGTTGCGTTGTTCTCTCTGAAAATCAGCCGCGTTGGGGAACGTGCTTGTAACAGCAGCAAGGCAGTCGTCAAAATTCTCAGCATCGCAGTCAGTAGTCGCAAGAGGAATCTGGGAAAGGCAGTCTGCGTCAGCCTGACGACGGCCACTCTTGTACGACACCGTAAAATCGTATTCCTGAAGTCGCAGCGCCCAACGTGCGAGGCGGCCAGAGGGGTCACGCAAACCGACCAGCCAGCATAACGAATCGTGATCGGTAATTATCTTAAATGGCCTCCAGTAAAGATAACAACGAAACTTCTGTACGGCGAAAACAGCTGCCAGACATTCCTGCTCCGTAACTGTGTAATTGCGTTCCGATTTGCTCAGGCAACGGCTGACATATGCCACGACATGCTCTGCGCCATTGTGACATTGTACAAGCACCACGCCTACACCGATACCACTAGCGTCCGTGTGGACCTCAGTCGGGCAAGATGGATCGAAGTGACGCAACAGTGGTGCTGACGTTAGTACAAACTTAAGTTGTGAGAATGCGGCGTCACACTCTGGTGTCCAGTTGAAGGTTGCATCCTGTCGCAAGACGTTTGTCAGCGGATACACGATCTCCGCAAATCGTGGAACAAAACGACGAAAATATGAGCATAGGCCGACAAATGAGCAAAGTTCTCGTGCGGACTGCGGTGATTTAAAAGAGCTCACTGCTTCTATCTTGCGAGGATCGGGTCTGACGCTATCCTTGTCGACCAAGTGCCCCAGCACGAGAGTTTGACGTTCGCCAAAGCGACATTTTTTAGAATTCAGAACCAGCCCAGCTTTTTCGATGCAGTCGAGAACAAGACTGAGACGGTTGTTATGTTCCTCAAACGTACGGCCAAAGATCACAACATCGTCAAGGTAGCACATGCATATCTCCCATTTTAGACCACGTAATACTGTATCCATAAATCTTTCAAAGGTGGCTGGAGCATTACAAAGGCCAAAAGAGATGACATTAAATTCAAATAAGCCATCCGGAGTTATGAAAGCAGTCTTTTCTTTGTCGCCGGGTTCCATAGGTATTTGCCAATAACCTGACCGCAAATCAAGCGTTGAAAAATAGGAAGCGGCATGCAAGCAATCTATGACGTCATCAATCCACGGTAAGGGATATACATCTTTCTTCGTCACAATGTTTAGACGCCTGTAATCTACGCAGAATCTCCAGGAACCATCTTTTTTCCTGACAAGAATTACCGGGGCTGCCCACGGGCCGCACGACTCTTGCACGACACTTTTGTTGAGCATGTCTTTTACTTGTTCGGCGATAACTTTGCACTCAGAGGATGACAATCGGTAGGGCTTTTGACGGATGGGGTGTGCAGAGCCGGTGTATATTCTGTGACGAGCGCGGGACGAGGGTAACTGAAGGGGTGCATCTCTATGTTTGAAGTCGAAGGCAGCAACGTGCCGGGAAAGCACCTGCACCAGCGCTTGCCGTTCCATCGTACTAAGAGTCTTGCTGATCATACCGAGCATTAGATCTTCATTATGGCGAATATCACAAGCAGAGGAAGAGGTGGGGAGGTCCGTAGCTATTGCTGCTATCGAGTTGCATGAGGCTTCATCAAAGAGAGCTATCTTCATCCCGCGAGGAAGCACAACCGGCGTGGCAGAACAGTTCAGCGCCCACAATGTTGCTACTCCTTTTGTCATGCACACAACAGAACAAGGCACAAGTATGTCTTTCTTAAAACAGTTCTTGCGTAGAGGCCCCACTACGAGGTCAACACAAGCATCATCAACCGCTGTGGAAGAGACTCGAACGGGTGTCAGGCACCAAGATGGTGCTATCACTTCATCAATCACACTAAGTGTGTTCCTGTCTTCACCACGGTAGTCTTCTTCGGAAAGCGACGGTAGAAACAAATTGTTTAGTGATATTTCCCCACTAGTAAACGGAAGCACCGCACTGCTCCAGGAAATCGATACCAAGAATGACATCGTGCGAACGAGATAGAACCAGAAATTCCGATACAAATACTTTTCCAGCCAATGAAACACTGACAACACATACACCAAGAGGATTAAGCCACTCGACTCCTACACCACGAAAGGTAATTGTATCGTCCCATGAAAACATAACTTTGCGACCTAAGCGGTTTCTGAAGGCGAGGCTCATCACAGACACAGTCGCCCCAGTGTCAACTAACGCCATCGTCGGTATTCCATCAATCAACACATTCACTTTGTTTTTGATCATAACAATAGGCAGAGGTATATCTTGAAAAGACCATCCAGCGACCTCACCTCCATTGTCCGCGGATGCTAGTTTCTCGGCGGCGGAGAAGAACGACGCAGAGGAGACGGCGAGCGGCGAGAACGGTTGGATGGTGGTGTCAAACTCCGCTCGGATGCTGGCGAATCACTGCGTCTGGTCTCGCGCGAAAAACGGTCCCTTGGAAAGAAGTCGGTTGTCCGCAGGTCATATGAAGCACCGGGTCTTGGTGGCGAAGACATGGCTGGTGTCCTTCGTGATTGGCGGCGTTGTTGGCGGCAATACCGAGCGATATGCCCAGTGAAACCACAGTTGTAGCAAACGGGAGGGTCACGGTTTATACTATATTCAATAGAACGAATCCTGGGCCGCTGCTGTCGGCGAGGAAGTTCGTTATCACGCGAAGAACGGGTTTCTGCCACTCTCTGGAATTCATTGTATTCTCCGTAACTTACATCTTGGTAGTAGGGTTGGTACTGTCCTTGCCGCAGCGGGACGTAGTCCGGCTGAGAGCCCTGAGTATAAGGATGTGGCTGTGCTAGTCGTGATCGTGCGTCATAGGCAGGGCCTCTAACGTATAGACGTGGCTGATACTGATGTGTGGCATCAGAATCCTCAAAGCCCTCCGCCACTCGGTGCGAGGAGAATGAAGCAACGTTTCGCTCGAACTCTGGTGGCTGGTAGGGGGGGATGAGTGCTTGGGCGGTTTGCCACTTGCGCGTACAGGCCGAGTTCTTCACGTATTATTTGCCGGATTGTTGATGCAAGATCAAGCGCCTGGTTGCTGTCTATGCTCGCGATGGTCGTCACATTGGGTAGCCTGCCGAACTTCGGCGTGATGCATCTCGTCTTTAGTTGTTCAAAAGTGCGGCAATGACGAATGACATCGGTGACAGATGTCAAGGTGTCTTTCGCGATGAGGAAACTGTAAACATCCTCGGCAATTCCTTTTAGAATGTGCTTGACTTTGTCTTCCTCAGACATTCCGGAGTCAATGGTCCTACATAGCTTTATGACTTCCTCAATGTAGGTCGTGCACGTTTCACCTGGCACTTGAGCGCGTTGCATTAGCGTCTGTTCTGCTCTTTTCTTTATTGTTGCTGGGTCACCGAAACGCTCTTTGATTTCAGAAACAAAACTGTCCCACGTCGTTAGCGTTTCCTCCCGATTCTCATACCACATTAACGCAGTATCCGTCAGAAAGAACGCGACGTACAAAAGCTGAGAAGCGGCATCCCATTTGTTAGTGGCGCTCACCCGTTTGTAATGGATGAGCCAAGCCTCGACGTCTCCATCTGGTCTGCCGGCAAAGGGACGAGCATCTCTCAGTTGTGGAGCCGAACTGGTCGGCGCAGAAGTCGAGAGGGGTCAGTGTTCATTTGCGTTGTGGGACATGTCCAGACCAGATGGATTCAGTGGAAGTCCAGCAATGCGACGGCTCCGTCGAAGAACTTGCGGTTCACCTTCCGTCTTCGGGTGTCGATTACCCAGCACGTCCACCACAACTGTAACAGCGAGCTGTGATAAGATGGTTTTATTTACAGGAGGTGAACGATGGTCGTTTGCGGCAGCACACTGCGATCGTGCCAAGACTTTTTGTCTTCCTCTGCTTCTCTTTTCTACCTTTTTCTAGTCTGTTACAATATTTTCAGCGAATGATTGATTTTTAGAAGATGATTTTGAGCGATCCCTTGAGATTCATTGTATTGATATTTTGCTGTGTGCTAAGTACTTCACTCAAAAACTTGCCATAGTGTTTCTCGAGCGACAGTACCGGCCATAAACTCCATAATGGTTATCTCAAGTGCCCTTCACTTCAACTTCTATGTCAATGCATAAAAGGCCCACCAGCAAACAAAAGAAATCGCTCACCTGTAGCCACTTGGTGTCCAAAGCCACGACTCCCACTGTGAATCATGACACATACTTGACCGCAACGTTCGATTCCCATCTTGGCTGCATTGTTCTTGTCATAAATGTCATCCACCACTTGAATCTCGGCATAGTGATTGCCAGCGCCCAAGGTGCCCAGCTAAAACCCACATAGATTGAAGAAAAGAGACAAATTTGTGTATTCACTTATGAGAGCTCGTACAACCAAGTACTACAGCCAAACAAAACAAGGTTAACGAACGTTTCCAAGAAGCGAGCCTAAGTAAATCTGTCCTGATTGATAAACTGAGCTTGAGGCCACCGCCAAACTAACACAGTTGCATTACAAAGCTTCTCACTGCTGAATTGTTTCATCATCTGAAGCAGATGAAACAATGCAAAAAACAAAAAAACTGCCAATGTCTTGGAAAGTGTGAATAATTCATAATCCAATGCAATTTTTTTGCAGTAAAACAATGGCATGATAAATATTGTAATGCACAATGATGACCCTAAAGGCTACTAGTTCTGATGTTAATAACGCTGTCACAGTAATTTTTAAGAACATGGGTGTATATGGTATTTAAGCTTGCTGTACATGCAGCAAAACCTCATTAATTCAAACTTGGTTATTTTTAAATCATGCATATTTCGAAGTAGTTCAGCGGTCTCGTATTTTTAATGTAAGTTTGAGCGGATAATATGAAGCGGCGGTCAGCACCACTCCAGTTAATTCGAAAACTATGGGTGCAGTGTACCGATTCCGGAACCCGATTTCGCCGCAGAACAGTGGAAACGACAGCCTGTAAGAGCCACTAGACAATGTACTGTAGCGATACTACTGAGTGAAACTTAAAGACCCCACCCTCGATACTTCCAGCACAAAAAATAAAATGGTAAAAAAAAAAGAAACTGTCTCACGATTAGCTAAAATGTGCGCCTGCGAAAAAGACCTGCTTTACTGCAACACAGCGGTGACGCGTGAGCAGCTTGTGGCATGCTTCTCGCAACGTCAGCACGTCATGATTTACCCATTCTTTCGGGGAATATAATAAAATTAATAAAGGACAGCCTGGTGGAACTCGTGATGTATGCGAACCTCTGAGTGTCAGTTGCTCCAGCAATTTGCCCACTTGCAGTGGTGGCATAGTTCTTGCCTGCTACGCCTGCTTCGGAAACTCTGTTTGCAAGCTTTGACGATCATATTTACCAGCCAAAACATAGTCAATTTCATCACTGTCCATTATTAAATTCTTTATTTGAGTAGAAAAAATTGAATAGTCGCATCATGACATGCTGACGCAGCAAGAAGCAAGTCACACGCTGCCCGCGCGTCACTACTGTGTTGCAGTGAAGATATCTTTCGCAGGCGCACATTTTAGTCGATTCGGGCAATATTTTAGGGGCGAAGCTCCTTAGGGTGTGGGCTGTGCGTCCCCTGTAGCCCGTATGTAGCCACCTCTAGTTTAGTTCTTGCAGTGTTCACTAGATGGCGGTACCGTCTCCTGTATGTAGCCACCTCTCGTTTAGTTCTTGTAGTGTTTACTAGATGGTGGTACTTGTAGCTGATGATGAAAAGATGCAAGATGTTATAAACTAGAAAGCGGTACTTGTAGTTGATGAAAGACGCGAGATCTTATAAAATAGGAATGATGTCACATATGGCGCGTGTCATTGGTTGAAGGCAATCGTTCGATTTAGTGCGGCGACGTACGCTAGGGGGAGCGATGTAATAAAATCGAGTGGGCAAAATGTACAGAGGATTCATGGTTTACCAGGTTTACCTCCGGAGCTTCGCCCACTCATCATCATTCACTTCGTGGATATGGCGGAATTTTTTGTTCTTTCTTTTTTTCTTATTTATTTGCAATTGTAGCAGTGAGGCTCAAGGTTCCCCTTTGCTTGCGGCAAAACTGTGACCTTGTATTGCTGGGAAACATAACCCTTGAAGCCGCAAACTAGTCAGCACAGCAAACGGCCAGCACTGATTGTGCTTTGAAAATTTTCAAGTTCCTTGCATCCCACTTTTTCTATGTTCTGATAACTTAAAAAACCTCTTAATTCGAAGATTTCTCACGGCCCCAGTAACTTCGAATTAACGACGTTTTATTGTATTTCAAATTTCAACAACCTTGATTTTTTAGACACAACATAGCCTGGGGTTTTTTATAGAGATACCACGTTGCTTACTTAGGTTTGCTTTGAGAAACTTATTTACTAGGAGGGCGAAGTGAAATTCTAGCATGCACACTACAAAAATGGACAGCAACACAGATTAAACTATCATTGCTGCACAGCATTGCACGAATAGGGCATTAACCTGACCACTTAATGTTGAGAAGATTAAAGCCTCTCCCACCAATCAATAACCACTTTTGTCATCTGTCAGCCAATTACATATGTAGTCTGCACCCCACTATCCCTCTGCACACTTCCTTTATGTGATCAGGGTCAATTGTGACTAATCAGCACTGATAAAGATGCTCTTACAAGTCAACTGACAATTACAAATTTGCATTCTCTTTGTAATTCATGCAGCTAATACTAAGAACTACAAAAAAGAAAAAAGGGAATTAGGCTGAACAAATCTAGGCAACGAGACAGTCCAAGAGCACATGCTGCTGTCATACGAAGAGTTGTCAGCAGAGCTTTGTCTGTATTACGTCCAAGCCCAACAACATTTCAAATCATCCAGCAGCAAATGGTGTTCAAGAGAGCTGTCACGAGACCATTTCCTTAACAATAACAAAAATGCAAGCCATCGCGCCTTGCCACAAGCACGTACACTAATGCGTTCCCAAACAAGCAAGACAAACAAACAAGCAAGTCTCGAGAGGAATGTAATTTTTAATAAAATGGGAATTTTTCATGTGCCAGGACAGCTGTTGGACTGCGCTGTCTTGGCACCCCGAGAGATCGCATTGATCACATTGGCTACCTAGACCTTTCTTTGTGATTTGCAGAGTGCTTCAGCCGTGTGCTGGGTTGAAGTTAGAACAGTGGGACTGGATGCGGTTAGAGAAGAGCACGCAAACAAACACAACTGTTGGTGTGTTTGCGTGCTCTGCTCTGTCCACGTTCAGTTGCACTGTTCAAACTTGGCATCATAAACCAACTAGCCTGCCAATGCACAGTGAGTCAATTCTGCAAGAGTTTCCACATCTGATTTAGAGTGTTGTGATGCCAACATTTCATAATGGCATCTTGCGGGCCCCTTCTGAAAGCTTGACCTGGCGACGAAAGAAGTTGACCATGGAGGCAACGCCAAGCAAAATATTGCACGAAAGTATGGCATTTAGCCTAACACACTCTCGAATTTCATCAAGTGCAAACAGGTGAACTCGATGACGGTAGTTTCGGGGCCCTTCTTAGTGATGTCCGCTTTGAAGAATTTGTCGTCGTGGACCTCGACCGACAGACCGCCGAATTGTGCAAATGGTTCAGCTAGTGGACGATGACATCAAAAATGAACTGCCGCCGAGGGCTCCCGAAATTGCTGAGTCTCGCTCTTGCGCTGCAGTTTTTAAGTTATGTAGAAGAAGACAATGCTGAAGAAGCACTTTGACACATGTAGAGCTTGGAACACTTGCTAACCACAGCCAGGTTCAGCAACAGAAAATTACAGACTACTTTTTAGAAAACTGTCAGGTTCGAAGCAATAAAAGTGTAGTTCGTTGTGTATTTTGCTTAATTGGAAGTTCATTTATTTCAAAGTTTCTTGCAGTTTCTGTAAACTTTGCATCAACGGCAGTCGACTGTAGTAGCTCAATCCCTAGCTTCGAAGTGAATAATAAAAAAGGAACTGCTTGAAATGAAGTGCTCAGGCATATTTGTTGAGGCACGAGTATTCAGGCTGATGTCATGTTTGCTAACTGCACACATGCTATTGCATATAGTTTGCACCAAATCCAAACAGTAAAAGCTGCATCTCCTGTTTCAGCTTGCATTGCGAATGAAGAAATGCATCACAGAAAAAAAGTTGTTGAATTGCAGAAGCTGTCAAGTAAATAAATTAACCAGTCAATCCCGAAAATATCAACCAATAAACGCGATTGATTAAAAGTAATCTATCTTATAGATGCGAGTTAAAATATGACCAATATCGTATACAACCGCTCCTACACATTCAGGTTTCAAAGGAATGCAAATTCTAAGCATACCTGAGGTAGGCCCCGTTTTTTTGCCTTCATGGAAACCTTGGCAGGATCAGCATTCAGCATTCGTCCATACTCCTCGCAATGCTCCTTATCTTCGGCCCAGGCATAGCCTAGAAAAATTTCGGAACCTTGTTATCACTTACCTACTCGCTACCATAGGGCAGATTTAGGTGCTGCTCAGCCTGTTCAGTAAGTACAGCAACTGTTGGTCAATATTTTTAGGTTTTTAAGTGCCAAAACCACAACCTGGACATAATAGTACAATGAGATATGACATGTAGGTGACACACGGCTTTTTTTGGCCAAAAACAATTATTTAAAACAGTACTGAAAATATTTAGAGATATACCAAAAGGAACATCTTCCTTTTCCATGGTGAACACTACTGATGCTCTCCACACATCATGGTCACACATCACATATAGAATATTTCACATTTTATTAATGTTTTTGCCACACCGCATCTGCAAGCCAGCCACACCGCAATAGATATTATAACGACAAGTCAACACAGTTCACTGGGTTTGCAAAATATGCGTCCTGAATGCAGCCTAAATCGCAGAAATCACTGTCACTCTCAGGACAACCACTGACTCGTCATTTAAGTGGACCACATGCAACTGACAACAAACTGACCACTGTTGCTAGTATGTAGCGAGTTGCAGTCTTCACGTGACGTACTTGTGACAACACGCTAATGCGGTGCCACCCCTTGAATACCAAAAACTGAAATCGCTGCTCTGAGGTGGCAGTATTATAAATACAATGAATGCATTCCCAAACACTACAATTCTCATTTTAAGGTAGTCAACACCAGTGTTTTTATTTGGAGCTACAACTACAAAATATTTAAAATTTGTGTCAGTACACTCCTTTGAAGCAATACTGAACAAAATTGTTTCCACTGAGATTTGCAGCCATAATGAAAGATTGGGTGCTGAAATCGGTAAGCATGTCCAGACAGAAACTACCGTGGTGGAAAATAAGCAAGTTAACAGATTTTGACATACTGCACCATTAGCTAGATGAGGCAATCTTTAATGTTTTTGGAAACAGGTGTGCCATGCTGGCTTCACCAGAATCTCTCAACTTGCCCCACTCCCACTACAGTTCCGAGAACCACTATAGTCGGCACCAGCAGTGAACAATGCTCACGGGAGGGGTAGAGCCCTTGAAGAATGGAACACATCTCAGTGCCTTTAATGCCTGAATTATTAAACTGCCGAACAAAGGTTGAATGGCGGAACATGAGAGAGGCCTTTGTCCTGCAGGGGACGTAGTCAGGCCACTTCAGGACTGACTGATGATGATAGGTATCAGAGGTACACTCTTACTGACAAGTGTACGACAACTCACCATAATTTAAGTGGTCGATCAAAACAAACTATCAACCTTTTCACAGCAGAAAAAAAAAAAAACACGGTCCTGCTGAGCTGGGGCAAGGGAGTATACAGGCCGATGTCAAAGCCAGGGCAGTGCACTTTTGGGGGGGTAATGCTTATTTATGCCAGCAAAGAAAGGATTATGGCGGTGTACAGGGAGCCTGTGAGAAGGCCTACATTGATTGAACAGAAGGATTGTTGCATTTATGTCTACAGCAGATCCCCATTTACAGTATACTACCAAACACTTGCTACGTTCTGCCCTCAAGTAAGCCCATGAGGACAAAGAAATTCCCAAGCAAAGAATAAGAGAACCAAGGCCCCTGAGCCACAGAGAAACAATGCGCACTGACCTTCTCTTAAGGACCAATCCATGCCCATCTCCAAGGCTTCTTCAAGGTCTCTAGGAAGAAATTATGCATTCTTTTTAATTTCGTGGAAAAAATTAAAAAAACTAATGAACAAGTCCCAAAGGGAATAACGCTGCTGTCATATGACATTGTGTCAGCATAGGACATTCAGTATTACGTCCAAGCCTAGAGATTTGAAATCATTCAGCAGCAAATAAATGATGCCAGCACTGCACATTTGCTTCCGTGTTTCAGTGAATATATAAAATAAAGAAAGGAACCAACAGAGAGAAGGACAATCATTCATAAATATGGATAGGGTGCCTTAGACAGGCTAGTTGACAATGTGATAGGCCTATCTTTGTTGAAGGTGACCCTGTCATCCCCGATTAGTTAGCTTCACAGGGTTAGTAAATGACATTCATGTTACGTCATTGTAAGATTAGAACCAGTGAACTATTGAGGGGGATGTGGTAGGGTAAATAGAATATGTCAGTTATTACGTAACATTTTAGAAACTGTCAAGTATTCACAGAAAATTTCTCGGGCTCACAAAGAATGCTACTAGTTATCACGTGACACCTTTTTTTTATGCCTAGGTTCCTATGGCCCACTCCCAAATTATGATGTGGGTTCATTTGTTCAATGTACCTTTTCTCTGTAACCCCTGAAACGAATGTAATGATCTTCAGCTGTGTTGTTGTAGAGACTTAAAGGTTCTATCTGAACTAAAAAAAAAATAGGACATCCTTTATGGAGCCTTTGTGAAAAAATATACTACCGTATTTACTCGCATAATCGGCGCACCCCTAGTTTGGTCGCGGAAAATTAGATTTTTTTAAATTCCGCGCATAATAGGCGCACCCCGAACTTGGCCGTGATCAGAAACGATTCTACCCCCCAGCGGTACAGTTGGAACGCGGTATCCGTACCCTGAAGAAAAAGAGAAGGCAAATCGTCGAGCAAATAAAAAATTCGAAGTGCAACAACCTAACCAACGTGTTTGTCGAAATAAAACTTGAAAAAAAAAAAAAGCGTCCATGAGCGAAAAAAAAAAACGGCTGTTCCATCAATTACTGATACCCCCCAAATCGCCGCGCTTTTGGGAGGTCACGTGTACAACGCCGGGGGCTCGATTGCCATCACCACCATCAGAGAAAAAGAAAGAAACGCCATTTTGCAAGCGGTGTGCGTATGTTGTGGTCGTGTATTGAACTTTGGTTCCACCATGGGGAAGTACGCGAGCTACACGGCTGGGTTTAAACTGAAGGCAGTCCAGTATGCGCTGGAGCACGGCAACCGGGCTGCAAGCAGGCATTTCGGCGTTGGAGAAACCAGTATTCGGTACTGGAGGGACCAAGAAGAAAAACTTAAGGCGACGAAGAAGACACGACGGGCTTTCCGCGGTGCCAAGACCGGCAGGTATCCAAACGTCGAAGAGCAACTGGTCCGGCATATACGGGAGCTAGGACAAGACGGCTGTGCTGTGTCGTTGGATATTGTGCAGACTGAGGCGCGCAGAATAGCCCGAGCGCAGAGCATCGAAGCAAAAGAGTTCAAAGCCAGCTCCGGATGGACAACTCGTTTCATGCGGCGCCATGGCCTCGCACTGCGAAGGCGGACCACCTTGTGCCAGCGCTTGCCCGCAGCATATGAGGACAAAGTGGTGAACTTCCACAGTTTTGTTTTGTTTCCCTATTCGGAGTTTGACTCCGAATAGGGAAAAGGAGGAACAGCTACGACTTTTGTGTAAATAAATTTTACGTGTGTGTGTGCAATTGACGGCTCTCGCTTGTTCATTAAAAGGTACGTAGGTATGTTTGTTTTATGCTGAATTAATTGGTAAACGATAAAGTCGCCTTTTACTTGACAAGTGTGCAGATTTAAAGCGCAAGAACCGAGTTGAAAAAATTTTCGAAAATTTTACCCCGCGTAATTGGCGCACCCCTAACTTCGAGCCGGATTTTCTGAAAAAAAAGTGCGCCTATTATGCGAGTAAATACGGTAGATATATTTACTGAATGCACGAAGCCACAACTGGTGCACATCTCCGATTTTCTTTTTACAGCTTCACTTTTTTAAAAAAACTGGCAATTTTTTTAGTTCAGATTGTGTCCAACATGTTGTATCTTATGCATGCAAAGTTTCACATAAATCAAATACAGTGCAGTCCACTTATAACGATATCGAGAAAACCTAAAAATATGATCGTTATAACCGGTGATCGTTATATCTGGACTGCCGCCAAAAAATCGTCGCCGGACGTACCTTTTGTAGCTCCAGGCTTCATTTCGCTATTTTCACCAATTAATAAATATTGTAGATAGTAGGATGTCAAAAACAAGACTTTATTTCTTACTCCGAAGAACGCATCACGGGTCCGCTGAGGAAGAGAGACTGACCGACGGCGGGTGGGAGCAGTGGGAGGAAGAAAGCACAGCCAGAGGTACACAGCCGGAATGCCAACGAGGCCCCGCCCCGATGCCGCCGCGCCGCTTTGCTTTTCGCTTTTTTTATTTTCTCTCTCTTTCCCGCTTTCGTTCGGCAAGCTACGAGTAGCTTGCCGGCTTGCCGTTGTAGAAGGCGGGGAGCCGCGGAGCGCGGCGCTTTGCTTTTCGCATTTTTTTTTTTTAAATTCTCTCAGCCTCTTCGCGGTCGACGCGCGGCGAGGCGCAAAACGTGACACAGCTGGCGCCATCTGTAGCGCGTCGCGCCAACTCGCGATGCTCTCCTCGGCTTTCTGAACGGCCGGGACGCGCTGCCGGCGCTGTGCTGCAGTGGCGGCAAATACGTACTCGCCTACGCTAACTTTTCGTCTTGTCTCGGCATAGTTCGTTTCAGAGGAACTTATCAATCTATATGTTACGATTATTCTGGATGAAACATGCCGTCCATGGCAAACTTTTCATCGTTGTATCCGATATGCGGTGGATAACATATCGGTATATACGGTTTTTTTCCCCATAGCCCCAATGCATAAAATGAGACTGCTAAGTCGACCCATCGTTACAACCGATATATCGTTATATGTGGTATCGTTATAAGTGGACTGCACTGTAATGCTTTTTCAGAAAAGGTACACTGAAGCTGAAAAACTTATAAAGAACGCCATTTGAGAAAAACGAAGTTTTATGGGCGCACGCTGCACACGCCAGGAGGTGCGCGGCGCACTTTGGCGCGGCATGTAAAGCGTTTCGAACGGCCGTTTCACATTGGGCTTTCACACGTTTGTTAGTCATAGTGCAGTAGATGATTAGGTGTTGAAATCGAAAATTTGATTTTTTGGGGGCTTACGCAACCATAGCCCTTTATAAACTGAACGCAAATAACATATTCAGCCCTAAAACACACACGCGCACACACACACACACACACACACACACACACACACACACACTATTAGCCTGCATTTACATTGAAGTAAACAGCCGGCTCGTTGGCACATTCTGTGTTCTTTGCTGCTACTTTCACAAACAGGTCAGTAGTGCCCCAAGCGAATTGGGTGTGACATATACTTCGCTTTCACACTTCAAAGTTATGAACAGATTGTGCTTTACAAACATGAGTTGGTAACTTGAAAGCATCTTATTAATCCAAAAACCATAGAGGTTGCATGAGCTTTGTCTGTAAGAGTAGAACACTATAGTTTTGTAATTGGGCTTCATACACAATGCCTCTCGAATCACTAGCCTGGCTTCGCTCCTAAGCAAACATGTTAACCATGCCGCAAGGAAACAAACATCTGTGAACATAACGCTGACTGATTCGAACTGTCACAAATTTCCTGCTGGAAGTATAGTACTAGCAAAACGTCCAACATGCCATGATTCTTTTCTTGTTGTTTTTTGCCAGCTGGCAACTTAACCAGCACACATTCACAAGGCAGCACGTGCACCTGCACGTTTTGTTAATGCTGTTGCTCATGATCACGAATTATGCTTGGGCGCTTTTTAATGGGTGGGTCTTTGAAGCGACCGTGGTGAAATTTACATGTTTTGATATCAGGTGCAATTTTACATTTCCGATATGCCATATTACAACCGTTAAGGAGACTCCTTGCTTTACAGAACATTTTCATACAATTTTTTTTCTTTTTCCTGAAACGATTTCGGGCACGGACGTGACTGGTACAGCTGCTGTCCACACGGAAGACTTAGGTTGATTACTACTTGAATTGAGGCCCCTTATTTGTACCAATCTCAATTTTTCGCTCGAAACTAGCAACACTGGTGCCAATAACAAAATTTCTGCGAAATTGGTCCTTGAACGCTAATGTGTTAAAATAGAATAGAATTAAGTTTATTAAATATGGACAACCGCACACACTAGAGCAATGGTTAGTACAAGAAGTCGCTTATAAAAAGCACCCACACACCTTGCATTCATGGGAATGATTCCCTTAGATCCGACGCCAACGGGAATGTGGTCGAACATGCTCTGTGCCAACTGCTCTTTGATGGGCTGGACGTCCTTCTCCATCAAGTTGGTTCGTAAGAGACGAACACCGCAATTGATGTCAAAGCCCACACCACCTGTTCAAGACGGGAATAAATGATCAAGTGAACAGTCCCAGAAGCAACGCCAACCTCCAAAAGGGGTCAGATAGGCTGCTGTCATAAAAAAATGGTGTCAGCACGTGCTTGCTCTGCATTACGTCCTTGCCAAAAATGTTTCAAATCACCCAGCAGCCTTAACTAAAAAGAAAGGGTAAGTTCCATAACTAAGTGCAAAAAAAAAAAAAAAATCTGTTGCTAACAACATGTTGCTTGGCCGCACTGAACCTTGCAATATAATAACCATATCACACATAAGTGAAAACCGTGGAAGGATTAAAACAACGTCTCAGCACTGAAATTCAGAGCAAAAGCAAAGCATGCCACATATGAAAGAAAGGTATGATACGTGACATTTTATTCAATGCAGCAGCAGTTTTCATTCCTTTAAAGCTGCAAAATCTATTGACACACTCATCATACAGAAAGAATTGAAGACCAAGAGCGTATTTACTACCACATAACTATCTGAAGTAGTGGCACATTTATGTGACAGTGTACCACTTACATTCCCAACTGAAATGCACTATTTCATGCACTAAAAGCACAAAGGTGCACAAACAATGCATGGCATGACAATTTAATGTCTACAAATAGCAGTTTACTTGTAGAAAGCATCATAAATCAAGAACTAGGCAACGCAAAGTGGGGCTTCACTGGGTGTAGCACTTGGAAGCTTCTGTACTGCTGCCTTGAATTAAGCTATATTTCATTATTGTATAAGACTAAAAATGCCTCCTAATAAAAGCATTTACACCTTCAGTGATGTCCCTACATTGATGCACGAATGTGTCCATATCTATCGCACATAAAGTGGAGCTCTCAACCAGTAAAATAGCAATGAGGAGAGGACAAATAAGTGGTAGATAGAAACTGCTTACCAGGTGACACAATGGCCTTTGGATCATCCATGTCAAATGCCGCCATATTGCCAATTGCAAAACCATAACCAGAATGGATGTCAGGAAGCCCTATTGAGTGCTGGGAAATGGGAACGCAGGCAATGAACGTGCTGTGTCACTTGTTGACTGAAAACGGTATGCATAGAAAAGCTTGGCAAGGCTGCTGGTGATGAAACTTGTGTCAGCACGCATCGTCTTTGCATTACGTCCATGCCAAAAAATTTTTCTAATCATTCAGCAGCCTGCCAAGAGCCTCATATAGCACTGAATCGCAATAAATAGACAAACTACACATCAAATATGAAAAGTAGCCTTGGTGTTCACTTTCGACCGTGTCAGATGCCCCATGTCGGGTTTGAGGTACAGAGAAAATTGTTTCACCAAGTGATACATTTTCATATTTCTTTCTTTCTTTTTTTACGTAAGCCAATACTTAAGCTCATTTAGAGCAAAAGTGTGCCGCCAAACCATAGGCAGCTATTAAGTCGTGTATTCAAAAGATGCGTACATAACAGCTCTATGTGTCAATGAGATTGGACATTATGATTTTAGAACCACTCGATTCACTGAAAATAAATTCTGGAGTTTTACACCGCAAAGCAACTACAAGATCAAAGCACAGTGTAGCTGGGGACTCCAAATTAATTTTACAATAGGAGCTACTTTAATGAGCATATATATTGAAGTAAATGTGTTTTGGCATTTCCCCAATCAAAATGTGGTCATTGTGGTTAGAGATCAGGTCTGCATCTTAAACTTGGTGCAATACCTTTGATGCTACATTGCTACAGAGGGTTCCTATGTACCAAGAAATTTAGCTTACAGCAGTGATAGGATATGCCATGTTAAAATAAACAGAACTATGCAGATACTGTCGTAGCTGGGTTAGTGATCTTGGTAACAGCTTCAGTGTGCAACAAAACACACTTGATACATAAGCCACAACCGGGTGTTTCAACTCTTTTGTTGTACAAAAAATCTCACACTTCACTAGGCATGTGTGTCTTTCATGCTTGCGTCTACCAATATGCACACTTGATGCAGGCCTGCAGACAGATTCAAGAAACAGAATGTTTCTATTGAACAGCAGTCTCTGTTTTGACCAAGGCAGAGTTGAATTCATATTTTAAAGCTACAATGGCCAAATATGACAAATTCTTGAACAAAGGGCGTTACTAGGGCCGATAATACATAGTGTTCATGTGATGTCACTTCCGCCGATGTCGCCATCTCCCGCCATGCCCGGGTACCTCGCTGGGTGCCTACAGCAGTGTGCGTGCTGCAGCTCTGTTTGTTGAGGGCTCGTCATCTGTTGCTGTGCACATGTGTTTTTCGTTGTCATGCTTTAACGAGCTCATCAAGTCAGGAAGGCCTCGCTTGTTAACTCGATACAAGACTGAAAAATTAAAACGTGTGACACGTATACCAGCCACCGCGTGCACCGCCTGCCCGCCACGATCTACGGGGGCCCATTATCTCGCTTTCAGTACAAATCGCAAGGTCTAAGAACAACTGAAAGCTCAAAGTCTCTCGAGCCGCAATTTTAAAAGTGGATGAGCAAAGCGCACAGCTCCCATCGAAAACGAGTCATCGTGCAGAGCGAGGCAAGTTTACAGAAGATATATTATTAATAAAAATTTTAATGTATTGCTGCGGCCACCACATCACTAAAGTGGCAGTGCGGCTCCCCAAGTGTTTTAAACAGTGCTGATGTTGAGCGTCTTTGATTGAATTTGTGGAAACAGCCAAGGAATATAGTATTATGCAAGGTAGAGACTTCGCGTGGTGCGTGCCGCGCTGATCCTGGTCACTTTTTTTTTGTGTATGTTTTGACTCATTTTTTACCTTGTATATTACTTTTGTTGTTGTGCACTAATGTACAGTATTGTCCCTGAAAATGATGCAGACCATTTTAGGGAATCAATTGACTAATTTTTAAAAAACTTGACCCTTCAACCTGAACCGATCGGCTATACTTCAAATCCCGAGTTAACGAATATTAATGTTTCACGTCCAATTTCACACTTTGTTTGAATGCAATACCCGAATTCCCGTGATTGCCTTCACAATTTTAAGCACCTCCCTGACACGCTGATTGTGCACGCAGCAGTCGCGGACAAGTTTGTATATACAGTACCTATCTCTGTTTGCAGGTACGTGCTTCAGGTGTAACTTCATTACTTACCCGTAATGAAGTTACACCTGAAGACGCAAATATCACCGGTTCTTCAAGTCGTTTTTGTTAATCTGTGCCAGCCAGACATGCCGGTGCTTTTCGGAAAATCGCAATGTGCGTTCTGAATTTTAGGTAATAACTTTCGGCAAAGAGAACACCCTGACGCTCTGCTCGCTCTTCGTGGACTGTTATATCAACCTGCCTTCCCAGCTGCTGATAATTGCTCCAACTTGCATCGTTAGGCAAAACTGAACGGTCGCATGCACGAGGAAACAACACGGCAGCGGTCGGCCACGGAGTCGGTAGGTACCCAGGCATGTCGGTGGCGCATTTTGGAAGTGACGAATCGGCGCTGCGTGACGCACTTGCACACTATGTATTCGGCAACAGACTTCTCTTATTCAAGGCTGCACCTACGGCCAGCCAAACATGGTGGCCAAACAGCCAATAACACAACCTTGTGTTCGCCATTAATATCGCTGCTGACAAGAACTGGTTTTATTGGCAGGACCCGCAAACACTGAAATGCACAAATAAAAGATGCCATATGCCAATACACTGGGCTTGTTTCACCAGCAGGCTTAAGGCACATAGGCACACGCTCGTATATGATTCACGATTTTGTCCCCGTCTATACATGTTATCGAACAATGTAAATTAAACAAAACGCTTTTGATGCCCCGAGATTCCCGAACACTATTCACCAATTGGTCGGACGAAACTTGCGATTCATTTTACATATACACGTAAAAAAGAACTAAATCCAGTACCAGCTGCACTTACTCCAACGATTCCAGGCAAGGCAGCAACATTTCCAATTTGTTTAACACCAGGCAGGAATCCGCCAACGTTTCCTGGACGACACGAATTTCGCAGCTCTTCGAACATCAGCTTCTCCAAGAGGTTATTCACGTAGAACATTCCTTCCACCTGAAGGAAGTGCCAAATTGAAATGGAAAGTAAGCTAAAACGCTATGACAACCACTCAATAACGTCCATAATCTCGACAGCTAGTGCTAAGCTGCGTCAATGGCAAACATGAAAACGATCAGGCCAAGAAATCCAAAAATGGTCGCCAGTAATGTGTGAAGCTACTTACGACGGCTCAATACACTACCCACGTTTATAACGTGCCGACCTTGTAGAAAGACATTTTATTTATGTTTAATGATCAGCGTTTTCGAGATTACTGCATGAAAGCAACACTGAAATAGTGCGAGGCAGACACCGCAGTTGCCGCCGGAGGAGAGCCGGCCTTGCAGCCGAGCTTACCTTCATATTTGGCACGAAGCCCTTTTTGATGCGCCATGAGACTGGTGACATTTTTTCAAGGTATCCGAGCTCCTCATTGTAGCTGCGGACGCCCATCTTGGTGGCCTAACAAGTAAATAAAGACAAGTGTGGGCATGCGGACACACGTGGCAGATAGACTGGCGCATTCACTGAATTTCGATGTGCGCTTGTAGTCGGTACTCACCTAGTAAACGCCGAAGGCGTCACGCTCAGGAAATGACAGATGGTACACCGATTCGTTAGCGAAAAGCGCGTCGGACAGACATTGCTACGAAATGTAGAAATATTGTGCCAACACCACAAGCAGGCACCGGCAGCTCAAGAGGCTAAAAAGGCGAAAAACGTAGGCCAAGCATCTAGCCGTTTGACGGTTTGGCTTGGCTTGTACGTCAGAATCTTTCAAATGCAAGTTGAGACAACTCCTCCTCTAGAAAGGAGGCGTTGGTTGAGATCATCATCAATAAGAACAAAGCCCCCCTAGATTTCCTTTGCCTGCCGGATTATCAGCGGTCACTTGAAAAGCGGCTGTCATCGGAACTATGGTGGGGACGCCACCTAAGTAGGGATGTCTTTAAATAAGTTTTTACGTTTTTGGAGCTTATATGCAACAAAACAACGTAAAAAATTTTAAAAAACATAAAAGTAATTATTATTAACCTTACGTAAGTGACGCCGTCATTCAGCAGGCAACTTTTTAATACATATCATCCTCTAAAGTTTGTAGCAAACACCGAAATTGCTAATCTCAAAGGCTGAGTACAAAGACCTTTACTCCTACGTAGGCAGCGCTGCCATAGATGACAGGCGTTTCACGCTCATCCGGCAGGCAAGCGAAATCTAGGAGGCTATGATTAGGAAGCATCAGTTAATGATGATAGTTGCAGAAGATCGTGAAGTTACAGTGGCAAACGAAGTAGAGGAAGAAACATAGTAAAGGGAAAATTCCTTGCTCCATGGAAAAACATAGCTACTCAACCACACGTATGGTCGTAGAACTCTTGAAGGTAGGTTCTTTCAGTATGATGGTGATGCTTGATGACCAATACTTATCATAGCGGCATTTTTTAGTTGACGACCAGCATGACCTCCGAAATTAGTTACCAACCGCTGCGGCAGGCTTTGTGGTCGGAGGTCAACCACGCTGCACAGAGCGCGACAATTCAAGCTTGAGGAGTTGAACTGAGCCTGGTTAATAGAGAAAGCGACAAATGTAAGGAATACAAAAAAAAAAAAGTAATGGGAACATGGAGTATAGGAATGGCAAAACTCTGGATGCGGACCATCATGTGGCACTGACAGTATGGCGATCACTCTGATGTGACCTGGTGTGTTTCGGTTTCGGACAAATAATTTGAAATCATGCGTCAACTGTGTCAGTGGTGCACTAAAGTAGAGTGATACTGAAAGCAGACTTTACCTAAAGACTTAATTTTTAGATTTTGGTTAACCCCTGCGACTCTGCCCCACAGGTTCTATTTCACACACTACCCCCCTCTCCCTCCAAAATCTTGAAGTAATGAGTATTGTGGGCTCAGGAACACCATAACAAAGAATAAAAGAGCTATTGGTCCGACTTCTGCCTCCGTGCTCTAACTCAGTGGTTAAGACATTGCCGTCTGCGGACTCCCGGGGTGACGGCGAAGCCATTTATGTGAGCCTGTGAAACCATCGTTGACAAAAAAAAAAAAAAAAGTTTTTAAGCGGGGGGGGGGGGGGGGCAGACAAATATGTCCCGGAACAGCGGCTTCTTCTAATTTTGTTATGCTTCACTGCATAGCGTTAATACATTAACTTGTGTTCTCCTTAAGATAGCTGTTAAGTAGGTTTGTGTAATCGAAGTCGAATGGAATAGTGACGAATAGTGGCCATAAATATCGAATAGTATACCGAATACTAGAGGTTTTATTGAATAATGAAAGAGAAAACAAATAAATGACGTTTGCTTACGTCCTCGAGTACATATTCACGGTGCCCCACCTATCTTTAGCCAGAGTTTAAAAATAAGCCTACACACGCAGTAACGACGCGATCAAATGCATGTTGCTGACTGTTGCCTACAGTGAGTCAGACTATTCTTTGTGTTCTGATTAATTGCCTAATTAGGTCTTTTTTATTAACTAACTTTTTAAGCTACAAAAATGGGCTGGGCTTTCCAATGAGAAAGTTAATTGTTCATCTGATTAGACAGCTTGAGCTTTATATCTGGTAATTTTTAGTGTTTTCCTACTAACTGCAAATGCCCGCAGAATGCAAAAAAAATACCACGTGACAAGCCCGCTCTAGCGCCAGTGCGCACGATGATAATGCTCCCTTACGTACCGCGCACGAACGACCATAGCAATTGTCCGATTGTGCTGTCTGTATACACAGGGCCGCAACGATGGTGGTGGCTTTGCGATGAACATGTTCCGCTATTGGCCACAATAGCGATGCCGCTGTGGCTGCTTACCACTGTCATGAACCGCTGCGAAGGAAGCGTGCGTATCGTTGGTATGTACGCGTAACGTTAGGGAGCACCACAATCACGACGCGCGTAGGAGCGCGAGCAGGCTTGCCAAGTAGCATTTTTTTGTCTGCATTTTGTGTGCATTTGCCGTTCCAGACTGTCTAACGAGACGCTTTGCAAACCGCTGAAAAACTTTCTCGTTGCAATTTTTGACCGATCTTTGATCCATCAGAAGTTAATTAAGATAGATATATGTGGAGTTTAACGTCCCAAAACCACCATATGATTATGAGAGACGCCGTAGTGGAGGGCTCCGGAAATTTCGACCACCTGGGGTTCTTTAACGTCCACCCAAATATGAGCACACGGGCCTACAACATTTCCGCCTCCATCGGAAATGCAGCCGCCGCAGCCGGGATTCGAACCCGCGACCTGCGGGTCAGCAGCCGAATACCTTAGCCACTAGACCACCGCGGCGGAGCAGAGAGAAGTTAATTAAAAGGGTCCAGTTAAATAAATAATCAAAACACAGTAAAATAATCTGATTCATCTCAGACAACGGTCAGCAATATGCACTTGGTTGCGTCGAAATTGCGTGTGTCAGCATATATTTGAACTCTGGGTAAATATCGAAAACCGGGGACGTAACGCGGTGCGACTGCTATCGAAGGACTACAAATTATCGTGCACAACACTGGCTGTTCCACGTGGCCTTGCTTCACGTTCTCTCGTCGTGGTGTTCCGGGGTTTTCTGCAGTTGAAAACATGCGCTCACTGGGAACCTCGTAGGAGTGATATCAGAAGACATCGCAAGAAAATTTCGGTAATATTTGGATAAACTCCAGCTCCAAGCTCTTTCCAATATTTCAAAACACCATATTTTCTTGTAATCAGGGGCTCATTGAAGTATTTTCACATAAGCCAATCACGGGTGGTGGGCAATTGTCAAGAGATTTACGGCGCCAATTTTGGCATACGCGACCCAAATACGGAAGAAGTCCGTGTCTTCGTTTTGGAAGAGAAGTTTGGGAAGACTTCACAGTCTTCCCGTGTTTTTTTTTTATGCGCGCAAATCGCATGATCTTTCTTTAAAAAAGAAACACGGGCTTGTTTTGAAACCATGCACATCGGTGAAAGTTTTAATAAAAGGCCAACTGTAATGATGATAACGGTAGTTAGAGCCACCCAAACATATCCAAGTTTCACCATAGGCCTTTGTAGCGTTTTAGATGTTCGTCCTATCGAATTACTCGAAACTTGGAATACTATATAGCTATTGAAAAGTCGTATCAAATTATTCGGTAACGCATATTATTCGATTCGCATTCAAAACTCTACACCCCTGCTGTTGCGCGTTTTTCTACGACATATTTACGTGCGCAAGGCACACTTTTTTTTTATTGCCTAACTACAGAGAAAAAATATCTAGAAAAACAAGTTCGATGTGGCTGCAGGTGGCTTATTATTGACAAGCGGTTGAGATCGAAATGGCGTGGTACATTTAGTATGACCCTTATTTGCCAGAGAGAAATAAAATACATCTATTTCACGCTGCACATTATGGTAATTTATAACTCCCTCTCCCCTTTCGTTTTATCGCACGGCAAAGGGTCCCTTATCGCATCCACTGGTCAACAAACTGGGCGTCCTCGAAACACCCATGGCTAAGAACCAGGCTAGCGCGAATATTAGAATGAACATTACAGTATTCTAATTCGCTTTGATTGAAATGTAAAATATTTGAAATTCCGAGGTATTCGAAACGAACGGAAAGGTGTATACACATTAATCCGTATGTAATAATCTTGTAAAGGTGTTCTTCTATGTAGAAAGAGACTGCTATAAAGTGAGCACACATGTCTAGGGGAAACGCGCGCCGCTGTAAAGTGTCAGTTGAAGGTTAAAAGAACACATTATTTTCGCATCATTTCATCAATTTTTTAGTTTTAAAAGTTTGTTATACCCGCTTATATGCTCTAAGAATAGTAATTTTTAAAACTTAATGTATATTACAGGTTATCATTTTCATTCTACCGAAAGTCAAATGCTGCTACTATTCAAACTTACTTGCCCCGCCGTGGTGCATGGTCTAGTGGCTAAGGTACTCGGCTGCTGACCCGCAGGTCGCGGGATTTAATCCCGGCTGCGGCGGCTGCATTTCCGATAGAGGCGAAAAATGCTGCAGGATCCCATGTGCTCAGATTTGGGTGAATGGTAAAAGAACCCCAGGTGGACGAAATTTCTGGAGCCCTCCACTACGGCGTCTCTCATAATCAAATAGTATTTTTGGGCCGTTAAACTCCACATATCAATCAATATTCAAACATAATTTCACTTCAGTTGAACCAAAAGGACTGACATTTCTGCATGCCTCGTTTAAATTTGAAAGATAGTGTATTTTGGAGTTTAGTTTTGTCATGACAAATATTCTATTTGTTTTCGATATAATATGTCATTTATACCATTGAAACTCGATTAGAATTTATTCGACCAAATCAGTGTTCTATTCGAATTTGCGTCGAACCTCTTATTTATTTATTTATTTACAGATACTGCTGTCTCGATACACGAGACATAGCAGAAGTGGGTACATTAGGAAAAGGAACGAACATACATTAAGCAATACCAAAGAAACATACAAAGCATTTAAAACATATTACAAAATATGGTTAGGCAGTTCTTTCAAAAACAGTTCAATTGGTTTTTCGCGTAGGGAACCATCTAGGTTGTTCCAAATCTCAACAACGGCTGGAAAAAAGGAATGCTTAAAGCAATTTACAAATGGCTTGAAGGGAACAATGTTGAGTGGGTGAGATCGGCGCGTGGTTCGTCGTGCTGAGTCACAAAGAGTAATCGGTGCTTCAATGCAACTGCGGCTTCGTACAATCTTATGTAGCCGAGTGATACGGTCAAGTGTGCGTCGGAAAGCAAGGGATTCTAACGACAATGAGCATGCG